CCCGGCAGCTCCTCCCCCAGCTCCCCCTCCCTTCATGGCACCCTGAAGACTCCCATGTTCTTCCTGTGTGGCTGGGTTTGGCGGGGGGGCTACTTCGGGGATGTGGGGTGCTCCAGGAATCAATGATCAGGGTTGGTGGGGTCTGGGGGTCTTTGAGCTGGGACTGGTGGGCCACCCAGCTGGCACTGCAGCTTCAGAGGCCATGCGGTGCCCCTTGCCTGGGCACTTCTTGTTGAAAAAAAGCTTGATGCCTTTGAAGACCCCACCCCGCAGGAGAACGTGTTTTTCTGAAGCCAGAAGGCGGCCTCACATGGCGCTGGCTTCGGGCACTGTGGCCTGAGCTGGCGGCTCATGGCCCGTCCCTGCTGGGCCTCTGGCCGCTGGGGGCTTTGGGGGACAATGTTCATCCCCCTCGGAAACGCCTGCCTGGGATCCACTCCTTCCAGTCGTCCTGGGAACGTTAACGCGGGGATATGACCCCAGTAGCCTCGCTGGGGACCAGACTGGGCCTAGGAGCGAGGATTCTGGGGTCGAGTCGAAATTCTGCCCCCAGCCAGTCACTTTTTCATCTGGGCCTTGGGTTCCCTGGAGGGACAATGGGGAGGGTACGACACGGTCTCAGGTGTCCCCCACCCCCACCCCTTCTTCTGCTCAAAAACTACAATTCCAGACCTTTTGTATTTTTGTTGGGGCTGCCTCGACCCCGTACCCCGACACTCAGGCCTCGGGGTCCAGATATTCTCAGTGGTTCTCGCGCCCCTCACCTCGCTACAGCCACTCCTCACTTGAGGAGGGGACATCAGGAGGAAAAAATCACACCTTATTTTTACTAACTTCTCAGTGAAATGTAGAGTTTCCTCCACTTTATTTGTAAACACGGATGACAGCGGCGTGAGCGGCACCTGTGGCCACGGCCCCGCAGCAGCCACAGTTGTGTCCATGTCACAGCGCGCCTGCCTCTTCTCGGAAGCACTGCCTCCTCTCACCCACTCGTGAGGTTACCGGGCCCCGTGGGCTGGCCTTGCCGTCTGCTGAGCTCAGACGCGAAGATGCTGTGACATCCACCTTCTTGTTCCCATTCTGATAACTGTGAGCGAGCACCACTGGTTCCCTTTGGAACCCACCTTTGCTCCCTTCGGGCATTAGTCTGAGAAGCACTCCCAATATGGAAAAGGTCAGGAACCCCCACTTTCTATCAATTCCATCTCCCTCCCCCTCCCCATGCCTCTTCTCCATGGGGCCACCCTCCTCTCTCCTCCAGTGTCTGCCTGGGCCCAGCTCTGGCCAGACCCTACTTTTTACCAAAAACCCCTGAACCCCTGAACCTGGAGATCAAGGCGGTCTGTGAGCTGCCCCACCCCTCACACCGCTCACCCCCAGTTCGACTTACCTGGAACCTGTCCCCGGAAGGCAGGGTTCCTATGGAAGGCGTCTGGTGAATGCTTAGGAATCACATTCAAAACCAGGAGGGAGAACCTGGGAGGCCGGTCCCCTGCTTCCCACACAGGAACCCCTCTGTGCCTCAGAGCCCTGGTTCCTGGCTCACAGGTGGTGCAGAGGTGAGCTCATCCTGGGAGCTCCCCCAGGGAGAATGGAGCCGGCCGGTGTTATTATAATCTTATCAGATCCTCTCCATGGGGTGCTGGAAGGAGCCTCACCTCCCCACAGGAGCAGGTGGAGGGGGAGCTGAGAGGGCTCAGTCCTCTGACTCCCAGGGACAGTCCAGCAGGAAGGGACGCCCCCTCCGGGTCCTGTGGGAGGTGGGCTTCCTGTCCATGGTCCCCTCCGCTGGCTTGTTGCTGCTTCCTGGCATCTGGGTTGACACAGGTGGGCACCGGTGTCCAAGGGTGTCCACCTGGTGAGGCCGTGCAGCATGGGGAGGCGAGCAAAGCTTGGGGGTCCATAGATCTCCTCTCCCCCGTGCAGGATGGCGGTGCTGTGGCCCGATGGGGTTACAAGTGCAGTGAACATGGAAGGACCCCATTCCCCCCACCCCGCCCTCCCCCGCCGGGCCTGGCTCGGGTGGCGCTTAGTGTGGACGCCGTCCTTTCCACACGGATGGACGGGTGACGAGGACCGGCCGGCCAGCTGAGGCCTCCTGGGTGCCCTGCCCAGTGGCCACACGGGACCTCCGCAGCGGGCGGCCTGCTTGGGCTGGTGCTGTGGCCGTGGGGTAATCAGCCCTTCTTCTCGTGGGAATGAGCCCGCCTGGGAAGTGCCCTCTCTCCTGGGTCACCAGTGGTGTTTGTAAACTCTCCCCTTCCCCCCGAGGGAGTTGGGGCTGTACTCATGGACAAGGGCAGGCTTGCTGCTGGAGCAGCCTGGGCGCCCCGGGGTGGCCACCCTGCAACCTCTGGCTGCGTGTCAATCCCCAGCAGGCCCGAAGCAGGTGTTCCTCTGATGCTAGCACACCTGCCTGGAAGCAGGCGCCTGGCCCGGCTCCTGCATTGCCCAGACCAAGGAAGGCAGGGAGCAGCCTCTCTGTAGGCTGATAAGGATTCTGGGGGCTCTTACTCAAAAGAAGGGGAAACCCTGGGGCAAGACTGCCTCATGCGATGCTGCCCCCCATCCCCCTGCCCTCCCCAATGCAGAGCTCCTGCTCCCAACAGTCCTGTTGCTTTGGGCAAGAAGTCACAGACAGCCCTCTCTGGGGACTTTTGAAAGAGCATTGAAGCCAGAGGCCTTTACGCGGAGGAGCACAACCCTCTCTTTCTTTAGAGCGACCTGTGAAGATGCTGAATAGAGGGCCCGGGTCCCCGGCCCGCTGCCCACTGCTCAGCCGTCTCCTTCGCCCGTGAGGAAAGGAGGCCCAGGCTGGCGAGATGACGAGAGGCAGTTCCCTATCGCGTCCAGTGCTTGCACAGATTCCAAAGGAGCCCCTTAATCCTGTAACTGCGGTGGGCACAGCCCATTTTGTACATAAAGTTTTATTGGAACCCAGCACACCCACGTGTGCATGTTGTCTATGACCGCTTGCTCCCAGCAATGGGGCCTGGGGCAGAGTTGAGTTGTGATGGAGTTCCCGCAGAGATGAATATATTTACTGTCTGGCTGGCTGGTTCCAAGTTCATTTGCTGACCTGGCTGAAAGCAGACAACAAAGGGCTGGCAGGGGGTCCAGTAAGGAGAGGGCTTGGCCTGGGGTGGGCGGGGCTCACCTTGACCCAGACAGACACGGGTCTTAGGCGCAATGTCGCAGGTTGGCTTCGAACATCTTTTGTCTGGGCAGTTAGTTGACTGCACACTGTGAGCCTGTGGGGCCCATGCCAGGCCCAGCACTTCCCTTTGATGAAGTCATTGCCGCCATGACGGTCAGGACAGGGGCCACAGGGACCTTTTGCTGGAGGAGAGAGAGTTACAGAGCAAGAGAGAGTTCAGGCCTCTCGTCACGCCCTGATGGAACACATGCTGCCGCCGCCGAGGTATTTCTGACTCGTGGCAGCCTCCAGGTGAAGCGGTTAGGCCGTGGGTGAGGTGCAAGCTGCCGGGAGGTGGCCGCAAGCGTTTTACCTACGTTCTCCCGTCCTTGCTGGACAGACCGGCCCGCATTGACCCCGCCTCCCGGAGTGTGGCTGCCCTTGGAGTGGGACCTTCCCACAGGCACCACGGTTTCCAGCAGTGACCCCCGCATTGGCCGCTGCAGATTTCAGGGAAGACGCATCAGCCCCTTTAATTAAGAGTAACAAAGTCTTCACCTTGAGCTGGAGGAGCGGGCAGGAGGACTTGGGTGTCAGCGGGCGGCACCCCGTTAGTCACACGCACACCCACCCCGTGTGTTTGTCCATCTGCAGAAGGAAGCACCGTTGTTCACTCTGTCGTGCTCTTTCCCACAAGTGGGGCTGGCGGGGGTGCTGCCCGCTGCTTCTGCAGGAGACGCTGATGCGGGAATAACACGTCTTGCAGGCATGAGGCGGGGAACGCGCTCTTCCCGGGTAATAAGCCCGGTGTCCCTGCAGGGTCCGGCTGCTTT